CCCTGCTCGGAGTCTGACCAGGGGCTGCACCTAGGGATTGGGCCTGCCTTCTGCCACCCGGGAGCAGGCCTAAGCCAGCAGGTCGTTATCTCCCGAGGAGTCCCAGACTGCGAGAGGGCACAGGCCGGGCTGAGGGACCCCTCTCCCCGCCCTGAGTGCACAAATTTTTGTGCACTGGGCCTCTAGTATAGTCAATAAAAAAACAACTAGAACTATATCATATGGTATCAGAAGACAACTAGGTTTGGGTAGTAAGCAAGTGATGTAATATATAGATAATGTACTATAGAATTGTACACATGAAACCTCTATAATGCTATGAACCAATGTTACACCAATAAATTTTAATTTTAAAAAGCAAGATCAGCTGACTGGTATAAGAAAAGCAAGATTCAGAAAGGAGTATAAAGTATGTACAATATAATTCAATGTAAATAAAACAATCACAAATCAAACCACGGCATACAGTATAGAAGAATACATATGCCTACTCTGTGGGCTCAGCCTCCAGGGTGAATCTAATCTAAGACTGTCTGGAGAAGTCCATCCCCAGGTCAGCTCATAAAGATCAGAGAGTGAGCCTCCAAGTTTCCCAACCTAGGTTCCAATGTATAAATATTTACGGGTGGAACAGACATATGAATAGGTGATTTAATACTTACCCCAACCTGAGCAGGGTCAGCTTGAGAAGCAGCAGGCTGAAGTCCCACAGAAATTCTCCAATTAATTTAAATACATCTCAAACTCTCTCCTTTTGGGTTCCCCTTTTTGACCCCACTCATTCTTTCCTCCAAACAGTTGTACAATTTCTGCTTCCATGTCTGTTTCCATGCACAAATTACTGCATTCTCCTTTTTGTTTCACCATGTCAGTGCAGTAGATGAGCTGTTGCTTATCCATATTCATTCTGCTGGGGTTTCTGTAGAACTCCTTCTATAATATTCTCAGTGATAATAGGCTTTTGTCCCTAAATTTGTACAAATCCAGATTATGCTGCTGTGACCAGTATTAAGGAAATAATGTTTAGAACATTCATATTGATTTTGAGCAGTCATCTTTTTTCTTATTCTTTTCTTTTGTTTCATTTATTAATTTACTTATTAATTTCAGTGCAAGCTTCTTTGTTCCCCCTAATTTTTAAGTGGAATTGATTTTTACTTTAAATTTTACCCTTCTTTGCATGAATAAAAATTTGGTGGGAAAGGTGTTATAGATGAGGGAGAAACACTGAAAAACTAAACAAAAAAGGAAAACAGCCCAAAATGTTGGGTATAATTACATTTATATAAAACTAGAGGCCCAGTGCACAAAAATTTGTGCACTCAGGAGGGTCCTTCAGCCTGGCCTGTGCCCTCTCGCAGTCTGAGACCCCAAAAGGAATGACCACTTGCTGGCTTAGGCCTGCTCCCTGGGGGATTGGGCCTAAGCTGGCAGTCAGACATCTCTCTGGCAGCCCGAGAGCCCTCAGGGGATGTCCACTTGCCAGCAGGGAGCAGGCCTAGCTGCAGTCAGACAGCCTTAGCACTGCTGAGGAGGCGAGAGAGGCTCCTACCACCATTGCTGTACTGGCAGCCATCAGCCTGGCTTGTGGCTGAGCAGACCTCCCCCTGTGGGAGCACACTGACCACCAGGGAGCAGCTCCTGCATTGAGTGTCTGCCCCCTGGTGGCCAGTGTGTGTCATAGTGACCAGTGATTCCCAGTCGCTCTGCTGTTAGGGTCAATTTGCATATTACCCTTTTATTATATAGGATAAAGTCCTGGTGCATGGGTGGGGGCCAGCTGGTTTGCCCTGAAGGGTGTCCCATATCAGAGTGGGGGTCCTGCTGGGTGCTTGGGCAGCCTGGGTGAAGGGCTGAGGGCTGTTTGCAGGCTGGCCACAGCCCCCAGCCACCCAAGCTCCCAGTGGAGGCTGGCTGGAAGCAGGTATCTGGCATTTATTTAGCTTCTAGAATTGAAACTTTGTTGCCTTTTGAGGAGGCCACAACCGGCCAGAGCAGGTGGGAAGCTTGGCTTCCTCCATTGCCAGGGCAACCAAGCCTCCTGCTTGCTCCAGCTCCATGGCTGCCGGCTGCCATATTGGTTGGGTTAATTTGCATATATTCACTCTGATTGCCTGGTGGGCGTGGCTTGGGCGTAGCGAAGGTATGCTCAATTGGCATCTTTGTCTTTTATTAGTGTAGATTATATATATGGGTATGTGTGAAAATTCTTCAACATTAAAGATAACTGTTTTTTAAAAAACAAAAGACTGCCTCACAAGCTTTTCTTTTTACTTCTTTGTATTCCACTTGCTGTGGTAACTATTTTTTAAACAAATATGCTTTCATTGATTTCAGAAGGAGGAAGGGAGAAGGAGAGAGAGAAAGAAACATCAATGATGAGAGAGAATAATTGATCAGCTGCCTACTGCATATGCCCTTCCAAATGCAATATACTTATATATTTTGGTCATGTGCAACCTGGCATGTGCCCTGAACAGGAATCAAACCATGACCTCCTGGTTCATGGGTTGATGCTCAACCACTGAACCACACTGGGCTGGGCTGCTATGATAATTCTTAAGAAAAACATGTATTAGGAAATATTTCTGCAAAATTTCTGTATTGAAGAATGGCAGGGGATAAACACCAGAAAGGAGTGTTATTATGAGCTAAGTTTCTGTTTATTAATCAACAGGTGAAAAAATTGCAAAAGGCAGTAAGAGAGATAACTCGTGCTATCCACCTTCAGCCCGATCAAATCGAGTTATATATAATAAGGTATTGGCATAGAAATCAAATTCTTCAAGTCCTCTCTTGATCCTACCAGTGTCCTTTTACATTTAATCTTTCTGCGGTGGCCAAAACCCAGCTACCAAGTCAGATATAGTTATTGGTTTTGTTAAGCTTGAACTAATTTATAATATAAGATAACCAGATCTTTCCCTTTGCTCTATCCTTACATCAAAACACAACTGTTTCATGTTTTAAATTATGTCAAGCTTCTCCACATTACTGGTTATGTAATTATTACAGGGCTCATGAAAGTAGGATAATATTTTGAACAATTATTTGATTGTGTCCACAGAGGTACCAAATGTGAACCTCAGCTAATTCAGTGGGGGGAGGGGGGGGAGTGACACATTGAATTGTATTTCAAATGCCATAGAGTTTTCTATAAAGAGAGTCATTGAACATTATGATTTATCCCCCCCCCCCCCCAATGTTATTGTCTCTAACTCAGGAAATGGACATATAGATACAGGAAAATTGACTAGAACAGTGCTTTCTGATAAGGGCTTGCTTTGTTTCTAAACCCTTGAACCACATTTTAACAATTTATGTAATGCCTTTCCACTTTTCTGTACCTTGAGCTGTGTTTATTTATTTTATTAATTTTTTAGCAACATAGTTTAACATTTTAAATACAGTAATTGCAAAAAGATTTGAGGTTTTTCTTCTTTCACCTTCATATTTCCTAAATTGCTTTCTCATCACATCTCCAAACTAATTGGTTCATTTAGACAACATAAAATGTTTATAATTTTCACAATGTTTTTTATCATACATATTTAAGTATACACAAATGTGTTATAATTAATATAATTACAAGTAACTTGTTATAAGAAACTTTGTTGTGGAAAAATTCTTTTTAACTTCATAGAATTAAAAAGGCATTATTTCTTCCAGAGGACAATATCTTCTTAGGATGAAATGTTATGATCTTGCAAAGTTCACTATTTACCAAGTAGCAGAAATGAACAAAGGTAAATATAATTAATGCAAAATTATAATTGCCTTAACTTAAAAGTAAATGCTTCTTTAAAATTTTTATGGTATTTTCAAAAGCTATGCATAGATAGCTTGAAGGGTTCACTTGAAAATCCAAGTTAGATTTTTGAAACTTTAAAAGTTCCATTTCATTTGTACATAATCAATTAGTAAAATGCTTCAAAACAGTGAATTTTGTGAGAGAAGTTATTATAGGAAATACCAGGCTTACACTTTTATTTTTTTTTTGTTTGTGTTGGAATGTCTTATTGTTTGTTGATAGTAAATAGATTTTAGTATCATATTGATTTGTTAACTCATATTAAAATATAGATCATTGATTAAAATATTACATGTATTCTAAATCCCAGATACTTGGCAAAGTATTGATAAGCTTTCCTTTTATTTTAGGTCTCATTGAGATGAGTCCTATACAGCAAGCACTCATTTATTCATTTTGTGAAAACCATGACAAGGCCATTCAGGTGTTGGATGGGGCCACTTTGAATAAGCCTGAGATCAACATAATTATTCTATTAGCAAAAACCCAAATGAAGGCCAAGAGAACCAAGGTACAAAATCTTGAGTAAGCTTACTAAGTCTATTAATGGAATTTTAATATTTTGCTTAGAATGACTGCTTGCATATCTTTTTATAAAACTAAATTATATCATTTATTTATTGATTCTTTTGTTAATTAACATTTAGGTTGTTTCTTTTTATTATTTTTCCCCATCTTCAGAGTAGGGCTCCCCTAGCCAGTTTGGCTCAGTAGATAGAGCACAGGTCCTAGGACTGAAAGGTTCCAGGTTTGATTCCAGTCAAGGGCACGCGTATGTGGTTCCTGGCTCTTACAGGGCCCTGGTTGGGGCACCTGCAGGAGGCAACCAATAGCTGTGTCTCATATCAATGTTTGTCTCTCCTCCTCCCTTCCACTCTCTCTAAAAATCAATAGAAAAAATCTTTGGTTAGGATTAACAACAACAATAAAAAAGTAGGGTTACTAAAAATATTCTTTTCCTGTCTTCTGTTAACACGTGGAATAGTTTCCTAGGACTTCCCAGGAGTGGAGTTGTTGGTGTGTAGAGAATGTGAATGCCTACCTTTCAAGCTAATGATACATTGTTCCGTAGGATTGTATCAACTTATTCTCCCACCTGCAGTATGAACGTCCTGCTAATCTATATCTTCTATAATAATTGGTGTTGTCATGTTTTATTTTTTGTCAGTTTGGAGGAGAAAGACCACTCCTTGTGGTCTTAATTCACATTCCTTAGTTTGAGCACAGATTTAACTTCTTTATATATGTTTATTAGGCACTCATATTTCCTAGTCTATCAATTTCCTATACACAATTTTTATCTTTTTCCTATCAATTTTAAGCATTTTAAAACTAAATTCTTTTATTAATTCTTGGTTGGCTATATGTTTGATACATATCTTCTTGCAATTTGTGGCTGTCTTATTTATTTATTTATTTATTTATTTATTTATTTATTTATTTATTTCATAGAGGAAGGCAGAGGGAGAGAGAGATAGAAACATCAATAATGAGAGAGAATCATCGATCGACTGGCTGCTTCCTGCACACCTATTGGGAATCGTGCCCACAACCTGGGCATGTGCCCTGACGGGGACTCCAACAGTGAGCTCCTTATTTATTTATTTATTTATTTCATCATGCCTTTTGGCAAAAAGTTCTTAATTTTAATGTGGTTGAATATATCTATGTTTTATTTTGTTGTCATGACTTTTAAAAATATTGTTTAGAAATTTCTTCCCTACTTCAAGGTCATAAAGATAGTCCTATATTTCCTTCTAAAAGTTTATAAGTTTTACTTTTTCCATTTAAGACTTTACCTTAAATATGTATTTTGAGTATGAGACAGGATAAAATTTCATTTTTACCATATAGATATTTGTATATCATTATCATTTATTGAAATGTTCTCTTTAACCCAAAGATCCAAAGTACAACATCTATCATATTACGTTTTTATATTTGCATGGATCTGATTTTGATATCTCTATCTCTATTTTGTTCCTTGGGTCAATTTTTCAATTACTGTCCCAAGAGTATGATGTCTTAATCACTATAGCTTTATTGTAATTCTTGATATCTGGTAGAACAGGTGCCTACACAGTGTTCTCCAGGCAATTTCTGGTTGTTATTGGGCCTTTACTTCTTCATATACATTTTAAATTGAGCTTGTCAAGATCCATTAAAAATTCCTTTGGAATTCTGATTTAATTTTATTGAATCTCTAGAATATTTCAGGGAGAGGTGACACCTTTATGATATTGATTCCTTTCAGAAATGCTACTATATTAACTTTAATCTCCACTCATGCCCTCATTGCTCTGCTAGAAAACTGGGGTAACCTTTGATTGCTTCAGTGGATAGAGCATATGCTATCAATAGTGATGTTCTCTTGGTTCTATATTCTAAGTATCTCTCAACTCTACTTCCTCTCTTGATTTTTATGGTCATCACTCTAGTCAGAACATATTTATTTTATTTTATTTACTTTTATTTTATTTATTAAATTGATTGGGATAATATTGGTCAACATGAACATATAGGTTTCCTGTGTGGGTTTCTATGTTAGAAAATTGGTATACTGCACCTTGTGCCCACCACCCAAAGTCAGATCTTTTGTCACCTTGTATTAGGACCCCCTTCACTCCCCACCCCTACCCTCTGACAACCACGACACTGCTGTTTGTGTTCATCAGTTTCAGGTTTATATCCCACATATGAATGAAATCATATGGTTCTTATTTCACTTAGCATAATGTTCTCAAGGTCCATCCATGTTGTTGCAAATGGTGCAATTTAATCCTTTCTTATGGCTGAGGAGTATTCCTTGTGGATATGAACCACATCTTCTTTATCCAGCCCTCTATCATGGGACACTTTGGTTGTTTCCATGTCTCGGCCACCATGAATAGTGCTGTGATGAACATGGGGGTGGATATATCTTTGTGAATACATGATTTTGACTTTTCCAATATATACCCAAGAGTGGGATTGCTGGGTCATATGGAAGCTCTGTTCTTAATTTTTTGAGGAATTGCCAGACCCCTTTCCATAGTGGTTGTACCAATCTGCATTCCCACCAGCAGCGAATGAGGGTTCCCTTTTCCCCACAACCTCTCCAACACTGTTATTGCTTGTCTTGTTGAACCTTTGTCGGAGGTACTATTTGCAGATATCAACTCCCATTTGGTTGGCTGCCTCTTTGTTTTGCCAGTTTCTCTTGCTGTGCAGAATCTTTTAGTTTGATATAATCCCATTCATTAATTTTTTCCTTTACTTCCCTTGCCTTTGGGGTCAAGTTCATAAAATGTTCCCTATGACCCAAGTCCATAAATTTGGTACCTATATTTTCTTCTATGTAACTTATTGTTTTGAGTCTTACATATAGGTCTCTGATCCATTTTGAATTGATTTTTGTAAATGGGGACAAGTGTCATCCAGTTTCATTTGTTTGCATGTGGCTTTCCAGTTTTTAAAGCACCATTTATTGAAGAGACTATCTTTACTCCATTAAGTGTTTCTGGGTCCTTTGTCAATTATCTGTCCATATACGTGTGATTTTATAGCTGGGCTCTCTATTTTACTTCAATGATCTGTGTATCTTTTTTTCTGACAATACCATGATGTTTTGATTATAATAACTCTGTAGTATAATTTGAAGTCAGGTAGCATGATACCTCCAACTTTGTTCTTTTTTTCTCAGGTTTACTTTGGCTATTTGAGGTCTTCTGTGGTTCCATACAAATCTGATGATTTCTTGTTCTATTTCTTTAAAAATGGCTTTGGGATTTTGATGGGGATTGCATTAAATCTGTTTGGTACTATGACCATTTTAACTATGTTGATGCTCACAATTCATGAATACAGGATATTTTTTCCATTTTGTTGTATCTTTTTCAATCTCTATTAATAATCCTTTGTAATTTTTAGTATATAGGTCTTTCACATTCTTTGTTAAGTTTATTTTTATGTGTTTTATTCTTTTGGTTGCAATTGCAAAAGAATTTTTTTTTAAATTTCTTTGTTCTGAAGTTTTGTCGTTAGTATGCAGGAAGGCAATGGATTTTTGTACATTGATTTTGTATCCTGCTACTTGACTGTATTTGTTTATTGTTTCTATTCGTTTTTCCTGAAGTCTTTAGGGTCTTCTATATACAGAATCACCCACAAAAAGTGACAGTTTGACTTCTTCCTTCCCTATTTGAATGCCTTTATTTCTTTCTCTTGCCTTATTGCTCTGGCTAAAACTACCAGCACTATGTTGAATAAGCGTGGTGAGAATAGACATTCTTGTCTTGTTCCTGATCTTAGGGGAAAAGCTTTCAGTTTTCGCCATTGAGTATATTAGCTGAGGTTTTATCATATATGACCTTTATTATACTGAGGTACTTCTATTCCTATTTTATTGAGTGTTTTAATCATAAATGGATGTTGTATCTTATCAATGTTTTTTCTGCACCTATCCTATCTAATAATAGACAGACATGGTAATTGACCGTACCTTTGCTACACCTCCCATTGGCTAATCAGCATGATATGCAAATTAATTGCCAACAAAGATGGCGGCTAATTTGCAAACTGCAGGCGGGGCCAGCAGCGCGCAACGCTGCCCACGGGACCCAGGACCCGGATCCCTGACCCAATGAGGTGGAGCTGGCAGCGTGCGATGCTGCCCACGGGACCCGGGATCCAGATCCCCGACCCGGCAAGGCGGGGCCGGTAGCGCCCGTTGCTGCCCGGGGGATCCGGGCCCCGGATCCCTGACCCAGCGAGGCAGGGCCAGTAGCACCTGACACTGTCAGGGGGATCTGGGCGAGGGAGCAAAGCGGTGGAGAAGGGAGAGAGCCCAGGTGGCAGAGAAGGGAGGGAGCCGAGAGCTACACGGTGAAAGGAGGGAGCGAGGCAGTGGAGAAGGGAGCAAAGCCTGCCTTGATGGGCTTTGTTCCCTTCTCTGCTTCACTGTGGTCTCAGGAAGCCCTATTCTTGCAGGAATCTTCCTGCAAAGGGCCTCTAGTTGATAAGATAATATGATTTTTATCCTTTCTTTGATTAGTGTGTATTATGTTGATTGATGTGCAAATATTAAACCATCTTTGTGCCCCTACAATGAATCCCACTTGCTTGTGATATATTATTTTTTGGATGTACTGTTGTATTTGATTTGCTAGTATTTTGTTTAGGATTTTTGCATCTGTAGTCAAAAGAGATATTGGTATGTAGTTTTATTTTTTTGTGTTATCTTTGCCAGGTGTTGGTATCAGGGTTATATTGGCCTCATAGAATGTGTTAAGAAGTATTGCATCTTCCTCAATTTTTGGAAGAGTTTGAAAAGTATAGGTTTTAATTTTTCTTTGAATGTTTTGTATAATTCACTGGTAAAGCCATCTTGTCCTGGATTTTTGTGTTTTGGGGAGGTTTTTGATGGTTGTTTCAATTTTCTCACTGCTGATTGGTCTATTTAGATTTTCCAGTTCTTCATGATTTAGTCTAGGAAGGTCATATATTTTTAGGTGCACCCATTTCTTTTAGGTTATTGAACGTGATGGCATAAAGTCTTTCATAATATTCTAGTATGATCCTTTTTATATCTGTGATGTCTGTGGTGACTTCTCTCTCATTTCTGGTTTTGTTTACATGGATCTTTTCCCTTTTTTCCTTAGTGAATCTGGCCAGGATTTTGTCAATTTTATTAATCTTTTCAAGAACCAGCTCTTCGTTATATTGTTTTTTTTGGTATAGTCTTTTTGTTCTCTATTTCATTTAATTCTGCTCTAATTTTTATTATTTCCTTTCTTCTGCTGACTTTGGGTTGCTTTTGTTCTCCTTTTTCTAGTACTTTAAGATGTAATGTTAGGTTGTTTACTTGGGATTTCTCTTGCATCTTAAGCTAAGCCTGTAATGATATAAATTTCCCTCTTATTACTTCTTTAGCTGCATCCCAGGGGTTTTGATATGTTGTGTTATCATTCTCATTTGTCTCTATGTATCTCTTGATGTCATCTTTTATGTATTCTTTGATGCAGTCATTTTTTAGTAGTATGTTGTTCAATCTCCACATATTTGTGGGTTTCTTTACTTCCTTTTTGTAGTGGATTTGTAATGTCAATGCATTGTGGACAGAAAATATGCTTGGTATAATTTCAATCTTTGAATTTGTTGATGTTAGTTCTGTGACCCAACAGATGGTCTATTCTTGAGATGTTCCATGTGCACTGGAGAAGAATGTGTAATCTGATGTTCTGGGATGTAATGTTCTGTAAATGTCAATTTTGTTCATTTGGTCTAGTGTGTCATTTAAGGCCAATATTTCTTTATAGATTTTTTGTTTGGTTGATCTGTCTAGACCTGTCAATGGAGTATGAATGTCCCCAACTATGATTGTGTTTTGATCTGTTTCTCCCTGTATTTCTGTGAGTAGTCATTTTATATATTTCGGTGCTCCCTGGTTAAGAAGTGTTATGTATTCTTGATGTAGTGTCCCCTTTGTCATTATAAAGTGTCCGTATTTGTCTCTTGTTATCCTGAGATCTATTTTGTCAGATATAAATATGGCTACACCTGCTTTTTTTGTGGATGTTATTTGCTTGGAGAATTATTTTCCAGCCTTTTACTTTGAATCTATCTTTTTCTTTGCTGCTTAAATGTTTCCCTTATAGGCAGCATATGGTTGGGTTTTGTTTTTTAAATCCACTCTGCTACTCTGTGTCTCTTTATTGGTGCATTCAGACCACTTACAGTTAGGGTACTTATTGATGTATGAGGATTTCCTATCTCCATTTTATCTTTTGTTTTCTGGTAGCTCTGTGCTTCCGTTGTTTCTTTTCTTTTATGTTTACGTCTGCTGTTTCTGTTGGGTGGTATTCCATACATCTCTCTTCTGTTTTCTCTTTTTTTAAGCACTATGTCCTGGACTAGGGACTTTTGTGTGTGGTTGACATTAGGTTTATAAGAAATAAAGTTGCATATACTGTAGTTTTTTTTCCCTTTTGAGTGCATCTTGTATGTTTTTGTTGTCATAAATTATCTCTGTTTATGCCGTAAGTTTTTTTTTTTTGTGATCTCCCTCGTAGTGTTGTGACCTTATATTCTTAGTTTCAGATAGAATAACTCTCTTGAATATTTCCTGCAGTGGAGGTTTTTTAGTGATAAAATCCCTCAGCTTCTATATGTGTGGGGACATCTTTATTTCTCCTTCATATTTAAAGGATAATTTTGCTGGATGTAGTATTTATAGCTGGTAATTTCTGTCTTTTAGACGTTTGAATATTTGTTTCTACTGTCTTCTGGCTTGTAGAGTTTCCACTAGGAAATCAGATGAAATTCTGATGGGGTTTCCTTTGTAAGTCACTTCCTTTTTTACCCTGGCTGCTTTGTGAATTTTTTTCTTTGTCATTAATTTTTGAGAGCTTCATTATCAAGTGCCTTGGAGGGGGTCTCTTTGGATTGAGGTAACTAGGTGTTCTGTTTTCTTCTTGGATTCAAGGATCTAGTTCTTTTCATAGAGTTGGGAAGTTCTCATCCACTATTTGTTTTATTAGACTCTCCATTCCATGCTGCCTCTCTTCCTCCTCCACATGCCTGTGATTCTGACATTACTTTTGCTGATGGAGTCAGAGAGGTCTCATAGAGCTTTCATTTTTCTTTATTCTCAGGTCTCTCTCTTTTTCCCTCTGCATCATTTCTTGATTCATAGCTCTGATATCACTAGCTCTTTCCTCTGTTTGGTTCTGTTTTCTATGCTCAACAGTTTACTCTTAACCTCTTTAGTTGCATGTTTCATTTCCAGGATTTCTGAATGATTCTTTTTTAAAGTTTCATTTTCCTTGGTGAAATACTCGTTTTGTTTATTGATTTGTTTTCTGAGTGTACTGAATTGCCTGTCAGTATTTTCTTGCACCTCTTAGAGTATTTTCAGAACTGCAGTCTTGAAGTCTGGACGTATGGAATTATATCAAGTCTGCTTTCTGAGGATTTTTTTATTTTCTTTATGTCACATAATTCCATGTGTTCAGTTGTGCTTTCTGGGGATTTTTTATTTTCTTTCTGGTCATCGTCATTACTGTGGTTCTTCATTTATTTGCTGTCCTCCTTTGTTTTTGCATTTATCTCTAAAGAGGTCTTTCTACTATTCAAGTAGATGGCACTGAATTGCAAGATTTTTTATCTCTGTGCTCTCCCAGATTTGAGCCTTGGAGGCTTCCATAGGACAGTATCCACAGCTGCTTGGGAGTGAGGTTTGTTTTGCCCACCCCTGACCTCCATGGGTTCTGCCCCAACACCCCCTCCTCCCCCCAGGGACCAGTCACAGAGGGAAACAGCAATTCTACTGCAACAGTTCTCAGGTTACAGATAATATGCTCCTGGAGCCAATTCCAAGGACAATGGGAGGTGAGTTTTGGGAGTCTGTTCACTCTGTGAACACTGTTCACTCTCACTGCTCATGGGCATGACTTGGATACTATTCTCTGGCCTCTTGAAGTTTGAATTTCACCCTGCAGGGGTGCCCTTCTGCAGCTCTCTGTTCCTCCTGCTGACGGAAGTGCCTGCTACCACCAGCTTTCTCCCCTGAGCTTCTGGCTGCAGGGCCGCATCTGCGGACAGTCTATGCTTTCTTCCCTTCTAGGTTCCCCATTTATCCCCCAATGCCCAGCTTTAGGTGTTACTTTGCTTGAGTTATAACAACAGTGTTGCACCCTTCCAAGTGTTCATCTACACAGCAGCTGTAGTGCTGTTTTCAGAATGTAAATAAATATGCCTTACCTGCAAGCACCTAAGAGGTATTGAAAAGACTTTTCAGAGCAATGAGAGAGTGATGGACATCAGCTAGAGGAGAAAGCAGGAGGAAGTGAATATGTATTGTTTTACATTTAAATGAGAGGAAAGACTTTATGGACTCACAGAGACAGTGAAGGGGCAGAGATCCAAAAGAGGAACGACATTACAGGTTGTACTCAGGTCAGGCAATGGGGTGTAGGGCACAGCTTGAGTTAGCTCTGAAAAGATAAAGAAAGGAAACCATTTGAAGACAGGAGAGAAAGAGATGGAAACGGAGGAAGGAATAGATATGAAAAGTTAAAAGGAGGGAAATTGAGGTGATGATTTTTCTTATGTCCAGGTCAAATGTTGAGAGTGGGGATGGAAAGATGGATGCTGCGGTGGGATATAAACATGTGGAGAAAATGCTAAATTTTTTAAATCGACACTTAGCCTACCCAAGTTAAATCTCACTGTTTCTTTTGCAATGTAATAGAATTAAGAAAATGGGCTAAAGGGTCACAGGATTTTTGGTTTCTAAGATGTACTTCAGTTCGCTCATTTTGAAAAGGCATTTCTATCTGAAAATGTGAATTTTTTTCATTAATGCCTTTCAAGTATTTTGATTAAATAGTTTAAATGGGTGATTTTTGATGTGGGTTTATTTTCTGGTGTCAGGGGAACTCTATTAACAGCACAGCAGGACAAAACAAAGGCTGAGTAAAACCACATCAGATATTATCATTGGAGATTTTCTACTACCTAAAAGCTGCCCAGTATTCCTTTCAGGAAAATTATAGGAAATTGGTCATAAACCAGTCTACAAGTTTAAATATGATTTAAGACTACAAGAAAATAATCTTTAGAATTTAGAAAGCGTAGTTCCAAAAGTCCTCATGGATAGCCTGCTTAAGCACTGGCTCTAGGATCGGCACCTCGTGGGATGTGCTGCGATCAGGTAGGCAATGGTCTTCTCACTGTGTACGGACAAGATCTGTACGTGAGTAGGGCTATGTGTTCAGGATTCCTTTTAACATTAAGGTTGTCTTGGTAAGTAAACAGCAGAAAGAAAGGTTCTCAGCCCCTCTCTCTTTACCCTGTAGGAAGCTGTGAAGCTGTTTAAAAAGGCGTTGGATATCTGTTCTCATTCTGAGAGAGGACCACATGCCGTAGAGGCGACAGTGGACTGTCTGTATAACTTGGGTCTTTGTTACATGGATGAAGGCAACTTCCAAATGGTATTTTGTATATTTAGCAACTTAGGTTACTTGTGATTTTAGAAAATGCTTGCATTTAGTTCTATTTCAGAAGGTTACTTCTATAGGAAGTGACCAGTACAGAGTAGACCAATGCTTCTTATAAGGTGTGGCTTGTTACAGACAATATGTATCCTACAATACTACTGCATTGTTTTATTTACCCAACATGTTTTATTTGATGCTTATTTGTCAATAGTATTGTAAAGACTAAGGTATGTTTTTCACCAAAACAACCTAACTGTAAGAAATTATTATAGCAAAATAATTTCATTACATTAATATAAATTTACCTATTAAATTTAAGTACTTTAAATTGAGTGATTCATTCTAATGTAGACTAAGTGGAAATGATTAGCACACTGATTTCTCTTAATGATGACTAAAAATTCAAAGATTGAAACTGGTTATTTAAATAGCCAGATTATTTTTGAAAACCAGTTGAGTCAGTATTTACATACTTATTCAATATTTGGCTATTTTACAGAAGCCTCCATTTCACAATTGTCCAATATGTAAAATTATTGTTATTTTCTAAAGGCTAATGTTGAATATTTCACAACTGTATCTTTATATACACACACCATTCCTATCCTTTTATTCTGAGGAGTGGACAGTGTCTAAAACTTGCATCTCAAACTTTGAAACAGAGTTGCACTTGATTAGTTGTTCTTAAGAAATTCTAATAAGTATAAGATTGATTACAAATCTTTTCCATGTTTTTAACCCTTTTGTTCAGCCAGCATTAAAACTAACTTTGCTCTACAATGTTGGGGAAAATTTTGGGGTTCTATCATTCTGAAATTTCATAGCTATGCATCTGCTATGAAATGTTTGGGCCCCTTGGAAGACAAATGTGCTGGTTGTGATTTCTTTGAAGGAACACAATGTGAAGAATAATGATTAAAATTACACACAAAATTACTGAAATCTAACAACTTGGACTGTACAGACATTAATCTGGGAATAAGGGGCTAATAAGTTATAATACTAAACCTGACTTATTAATAAATATTACTTTTGTTTGCTCCACAAATTTCACTGGGGAAAATGTATTTAAAATGATCAGAAAAGATGGAAAACTTTCAACAACAGCTATATACTGTAATTATTAGCATTATAAATTAATAAATTGTGCTCATTAAACCATTTGCTTTATAACAATATACTCTTCTAGGCTTTTGAGTCTTTTACCAAAGCTGTGAAAATAAATCCCAGTTTTGCAGAAGGCTTCCATCAACGAGGGCTTTGTAAAGTAAAACTTCACAAGGATAGCTCAATCCTGGATTTTAATCGTGCAATTACCCTCAATCCAAAACATTATGAGGTATTTAAATGAACACTTCTGGTGATTTAGAGATTATGTTATAGATTTGCTAAAACTATTAAATCCTTCATATGTCATTGTTATTAGCAACAATTGATTACTTATACCTACTTTTCATATAATTATTTTAATAATGCATATATCTGTATTTCTCTTTGAACTAAAAATATTACCTCCAACAGGAATATTATATATGTGTCTTATAAATTGTGATGTATATAAATATTGTTAATATTTTAATGTATCTATTTATATTTTTATATACTATGTTATTAATTTTATTTACTTCTTGTTTTGCTGTCACATTTATTTCTTACTTTTAAGAGACTAAAGAGATAACACAAATTCAATAGGTGAAGTTTTATTGAATCCTGATTTTAAAAGTCTATAAATGTTAAATATGGATCAAATATTAGATGTTTCTAGGGAAATACTATGTTCTTAGATATATTATGGTAGTGTGATTGTACAAAAAGAATGTCTTCTTCATAGGAGATGCATACTGGAGACCTGCGGTGAATTGTTATAATGTCTACAACATATTTTTTTACAGTTCAGGGAAAAGTAGGTACAATAAATATTGCAAATATATTAATAATTATCTAATCTAGGTGGCAGATATATGGATGTTCGTTGTACTATTTCAATTATTCTGTATGTTTGGAAAAAATACTACATTTTATTACATCTTTGGGTGACATAGATTTGTCCAAACTATCATATCCTTTGGTATAATTAATGCTTTGACTATAACACACATTCCTGTTTTCCTCTTATCTTTCTCTGAAAAGGCATATTTAAACCGAGTGGCCTTCTATGGTTTGAAAGGCAGATACTCCAAAGCAATCTTGAATTGTAACGAGGCCATCAACATTTACCCTCAGAGTGTGCGGGCTTACATCTACAGAGGCGTTCTGAAGTACCACAACAGGGTCGGTGATTTCCTGTCTTGTTTACAGAAAATTTAGAGTGGGTGATGCTTGGATGCCAGTAGGGACACACCTCCTGCTTTAATCTGTGAGAGAAGAATCGCCATAGTGTTAAGGGCAGAGCTGCATGGAACACCTTACACTTTCAGGGTACTTCAAAAGGCTTACAAAATAGTGGGGTTTTTTTTTGGACATTTACATTTTAAGTGGCACATTATTTAGAAAGTCATATATTATTCATTGTAAAGAATTTGGAAAATACAAAGGGAATAAAGAAGACTAAAGTCACCTATTATCTCACCATCAACTGAAAATTTCTGAGAGCATTTGTTGTATTTGCATTGTCTTTTTTTTTATATTTAACAATATATATTTATATATATTTTCTAAATCAGTACATTCAGTTCTAACTTGTTTTTTCTTCACAAAAAGAACTCTTACAATAGTAGACTTTCTAAAATAAATACTATTAAAATAGAACTTCAAAATAAATATTCTATACAAAGGGGACCTTCTGTGGTAACTTTGTTGTGGGGTGAGAAGGGGCTACAGTGAGGGTGGGGAGTAAGTCAGAGGTGAAGTGGGATGGGAACCTCGGGCAGCTTTCCTGTTTGTAACAGGAAACCAAACTGCAGCAGTTGCATTGTCTTTTTTTTTCTAATAATATATGGTATATATTTTCCACAGTGGGATTATGCTACTTATTTAATTTGTGTTGTGCCTTTTTTCTCACACTTAACCTTTAAAGATACCATATTTAATGACTGAATAATATTCTATCATAGTTTATTTTTTACCGCTTGATTGTTGGAAATTTGAGTTTTTAATTTTTTCACTATTTTACACAATACAGTTACTAGTATACACACTGAGAACACAGTCATTGCTTGAATATATAGTTGATTCCTAAAGAGAAGTTAGTAGATCAAAAGGTGTGAACAGCAGCACTGATATCTGATACTTCATGGAATACTTTATTTTTCCAACTTTTCTGTTCTGAACCTTTTTTGTAGCTATTTCATATGAAATATTTTGCAAATAATACCTTAAAGCAGTGGTTCTCAACCTTCTGGCCCTTTAAATACGGTTCCTCATGTTGTGACCCAACCATAAAATTATTTTTGTTGCTACTTCATAACGGTAATGTTGCTACTGTTATGAATTATAATGTAAATATCTGAGATGCAGGATGGTCTTAGGCGACCCCTGTGAAAGGGTCATTCGGCCTCCAAAGGGGTCGCTACCCACAGGTTGAGAACCGCTGCTAAAGCAAAGCTAAGACCTTGTATTTTGTATTAATCCATGAAAATTACTATCTATAGAAATGGATGACACAAGGTATCAGAGAAGCATCAAAGAGGAAGCAAAAGAGACTGTAGGTAGAAAACATGACGGTTATGGGATCTGACAGTATGAATGACAGAAGCAGGCAAGCTCTGGTGAATGTTTGCTGGAGGAATATGGCTTGCTTGTCTTTTACCAATAAGAAGTGTAATTTTCTCAACATTGGCAATAAGATAATCATCTAAATTAAAATTCTTTATATATTTAATTTTATTTGCAAGTAACAGAAACTATAATAATAATTCCTACCAAGAGATTTTCTTAATTAACTTGGTGAAAGATGAGCTTGATTGTCTTAATATCACAGATGCTGCACAGAGTGTTCCAAAAACTCTGATAGAATCAATAATTTCTTTTACAATTAAATGTCAGTCCATTATGACTAACCCTTCTCACCTAATTATTTTTTCCTTTGCAGACTTATAAGCTAGCGATTGCAGATTTAACTACCGCTATCAACATGGACAAAAACAGTTATGTAGCATTTTATAACAGAGCATTGTGTTACACCAAGATAGGTGAACTTCAGATGGTAAGATGACCATTTTAGTCAACAAAATGTTAAAGCATTTGTAAACATATGTAAAGCACGTGTAAAATACTTTTTATTATCTCTGTGTAATTTTGAAAAATAATTCTTGTGGAAATATGCACCCCCCCCCCACCACACACACACAACTTGAGAACCCAAAGAACCATTTCAAAGGACATTATTATTTTTATTAGTGCTCACAAAATTGTCTTATACAATCTCAACAATGTCACATGAAAAATTGATTTTATAATGCTTACATAAGCATTTAAAGACATATATAAATTAAAATGCATTACATAATTCTCATTAGGGTAAATGTTTCTACTGATATACCATTTGCAGTACTTTTTTTAAAATTAAATCTTTATTGTTCAGATTATTACAGTTGTTCCTCTTCCCCTCCCCCCCATAGCTTCCCTCCACCCAGTTCCCACCCCACCCTCCACCTTTACCCCCCCACCATTGTCCTCATGCATAGGTGCATGATTTTTGTCCAGTCTCTTCCTGCATCCCCCACACCCCTTCCCCCCACAAGAATAGTCAGCCCAATCCCTTTCTATGCCCC